AAAAAAAGGGTATCTAATGTATACAAAGATCAGCCACAACATTAAAACTACTGACAGGTGAAGTGAATACCATTGATTATATTGTTACAATGACACCTGTCAAGGGGTTGGGATATATCAGGTAGCAAACGAGCAGTCAGTTCTTTAATTTCATGTGTTTGGAGCAGGTAAAAAAGGGCAAGAAAAATGATCTGAATAACTTTGACAAAGGCCTAGTAGTGATGGCTAAAAAACTTGGCCAGAGCATCTCCAAAATTGCAAGTCTTTTGGGGTGTTCCTGGTATGCAGTAGTTAGAACCTACCAAAAGTAGTAAAAGCAAGGACATTTGGTCATGGCATTCAAGTGGATGTTACTTCGACACGTACCACCTACATGGAGATTGTTGCAGACCTTATAAACACCCCTTCATGGCAATGGTGTTCCCTGATGGCAGTGGCTTCTTTCAGCAGGATAATCTTCCTTGCCACACTGCAACAATTACTCAGGAATGAACAAGATTTAAAGGTGCTGTCTTGGCCTCCAAATTTACCAAATCTCAATCTGTGGGATGTTCTGGCACAACAAATCTGATCCAAGGAGGCCCACCTTGCAGCTTGCAGTAATTAAAGGATTTACGGTTTAAAGATCTTGTGGTCTTGTGGAGTCCAATTCTCAACACACCAGAGCTGCTTTGGCAGCAAGTGAGGGACTTACACCATATTATGTAGATAGTTTTAATACTGTGGTTTATCCATCTATATAATGTATGTTAGCAGTGTATGGAAACTGTGGGTGGATAATGTAAATGCTATGCTTCTGCACACATCTGGCAATAAGAGCATATAGACTGACTTCTCTATGCAAAATGTGTTGAAAATGTTAATTTTCCAGGAGTATTAATTAATTAATGTTTGTGGGGAAGATTTCACTGTTTAATTTTTATCCCTATTTATAGGTCAAAGTTTAAATTACTGTTATAGGACTTGCAGCAATAACTACCAAAGAAGAAAATAATACACTGCCTGAGTATAAAGTACTTTTACAATGTAAAGTACTACTGCAGTGAAAAAAAAAAAATAGATAATATTCATTCTTGCACAAAGCAATAAGATATTAATTTTAATGTAGGACACAACATTAGTGGACAATGACAGCAAACAACTCAATTGTGAAGTTGTAAGCAGCTGTGAGGTTCACTACTGATGCACTCCTGCTGCTGGACCTGATGCTATAAATACCAACCTGTCTGTCCTGCTCTGATATCTTGCTGATGCTGCTGAATAAAAATGCCAAACACATATCACTCAAATATTTTGTCTTATTTTTTGCAATAATTCCTGCAAGGTGAAAAGTAGAATTTTCTGCTTTTGCAAAGCCCCCCCTTGTAATTAACACATTATCTCTGAATGCTGTCCTTGGTGCTTATCATTGAAAAAGCTGATTTTAATAGAAGGGTTCTGGTGGAGAATGGAATGACGAATGGTTAGTCCTACATTAGAGTGAATCTTGTAGAGAGGTTCCAATGGCCTTGTTTTGGATCATTACATAGAAAAAAAAGGAAACAGGTAAAAAGGGCACCGGAGCTAGTTCTACTTACTCTATAGTTATATAAGTAAGTAAACTGTGTATATATACACATTAAATCACATTTCATTGTAAGCTTGTTATAAAACCCAATCATTATATAAACACCTGCCTTCCATTTTTTGTAAAAATATATCTATGTCACTGTGAGTATAATCATACTGCTGTACCAACACTAAGAATTCATTAATAATTAAACAAAGCCAGCAGTACACAAACATATTGAAAATGCCACAGTTTTTATAATGCAAATCCCTAACTTACTTAAATGTCTATAGATGTGCCAGTTCATTATATCTGAATATATTATATGTTTCTGTAATTATAAGAGATTTAATAAAATACAAGGGTTTAGGATATCTATCGATCATCCATATGTCTGTCTGTCTAATTATATTTTTCATATGTGTGTACATATTGCAACCTTTCAGAAAATCTGGTTAGATAGAAAGTTCTTTGATTTCATTTTAGATATTTTTCTAATAGAAAAAGTACACATTTACCCCAATAATTATTTACCTTTGGCTTATTTTAATCTTGTGTTTTATAGTGCTGTACTATTCTCATATCATCATATTATGTGTTATATGTGTTAATGTGTAAAAACAACTTATAGCAATGTGTACTGTAAACGTTGTGAAAATAATTATCTTTGAAACTTTGAAATCATTTATCTGTGAAAATGTACAATATGTAGCATTTTTGTCTAAAATGGCAATCTGTTAATTCAGTACCAATAACTGGCAGAAGAATCATGCTGTAGAATCAAAGATAGCATAACATAAAGTACCACAATTCGTAATAGGTCATTGGCCTATAATGTCTCTGATTATTTTCATCATACTTTAAAATGCTTGCATAATATTCACATCCTGAAACTTCTGCAGACATTACATAAACTGTCAGTTTATTAATGAATTTAATCCACTTCAAATCGGCAGATATTTTACAACTGCACTTAACAAACAAAACAAAATTTAATTTGTCTGATCAAAAATGAAACATAGAAACATAGAATGTGACGGCAGATAAGAACCATTCGGCCCATCTAGTCTGCCCAATTTTCGAAATACTTTCATTAGTCCCTAGAAAACTGGGCAGACTAGATGGGCCGAATGGTTCTTATCTGCCGTCACAGTCTATGTTTCTATGTTTCTAGAAGATAATAAACTACATTTGAAGAACATTCAAACAAGTTTTTTCACACCTTTATGGGTTTGCATTTAATTATCCTTTCTTCATTTTCATGATTAAGTCAATTAACACAAACAAAAATGTAATAAATTGCAAAAATTAAAAACCTCAAGAAAGCTTAATACACAATCATATTAAGGAAAGCATAATACTTGTAATAATAATAATAATAATAATAATAGAATAACTAGGGTAACAACATACAAGCTTTGTTTGCCTGATAATATTAAAATGCCATTCACACACTTTCTTTTGCTAACATTCCATTCAGGAAAACCGAAAAGCAAACATTAAACTGGTTTGAAAAGTTGATCATTTATAGATCTAGTGCCAACTAGTGTTTTTCTTTGGTAGTGTATCGTTCAGGTAAAGCATTTTATTTCTGCTACACAGACCTATATACTCTTACAATTTCTGTTTTACTGTAACAAATTCTAGAAATTCCCCATTTTGAACCATTATATTTCTGGTAATTTAAAATATGGTTTATAGGATTGCAGCTCAAGTGCAATTTATTCGGATGTTCAAATACTAAACAATGAATTTTAAGGACTGACAATCACATTGAAAAGAAACAGGTCAAAATAATCAAACTAGGTAAAGCATTAGAACTGGTGATTTAATTTTAGAAATTTGCTATTTTTCTTTATTATTTTCATCATGTTTGCAAATTCACAATTACTGCTTAGTGAATAATCTCCAAAATAATGTCTACAAATCCCAAAACAAAGGAAACAAGCAAAGTAATATAACCAACCGAACATATATCATACAGACACATCATGTATGACATTAAAATGCACTTTAAATCATTTAGTTTGTTTTCCACGTGCATCAATCACAAGCAATGCCTTGCTTAACAGTATTGCATGTACTTATATATGTTTGTAAGATAGCAAGGTACAGACTTTTAGCTGATAAAGCCCCATGTTTTATTCGGTTACAAAGCATGCTGTAAAAGTGACATTGGCACACAAAATGTATGAAATGCAAAACAAAGAAATACTGGCTTTGGTCCCAGTTAGGGTCTACTCCATACAACAATGGATCTGGCAGTCTATAAATTAATTACCGGGCCAATAAAATAGAGATTTTTTATAATACTAATTTCAATGTTTACACTAAACATTATCTGTTACAATAAATAAATATAATTTGAATTAGAAAATATTAAATTCGGTATGCAATTTTACAAACTACCACTGAGTGCCAACCTTCAATAATCAATTAACCACAAAATGCCAGCCTATATTATTGTACCAGATGGTGTGAAGTGCACCCCATATTTGACAAACTCAAGAGCCTTCCTTGCAGCTTGGCATGTTTTGCACAAACACATCCAGTCTGGTGGCCCTGTCACAACTAAACTTCCAATTGCACTTGTATGTAGACACTTTGAAGTAAATATTCAAAATGAATTTCTTTAAATTAATTATATGTACCCAAAACACATTTCTTTAACAGTATAAACATTGCATTATTGTAACTTGTAAACTGTTACTGCAGGTCACAAATTGTAGTTACCATAATCACCACACATTGTCACTATCATTGGTCTTTAAAAAAAAAAAAAAAAAAGAACATTCTGATGTACTTAGCAGTAGCTGTTTGCCATATAAGTTATAAGATGTATGTGGAATTACAGAAATTATCTAAACTTTTATTTAAAAAACACATCCAATAAAATTTAGAGTTACATTTACATCTCAGTAAACAGAGGTAAACTAGTCTATACTTAATACCTCTTTTTAAACTGGCTGACTTGATTTTTGACTAGGTAATCCAATCTAAGACATGTTCTGTCACATTATGGTCCCTAAACACTGTGCTTAACCCTTTACTCCATTAAACAACCGAGGAATGTTTTACAACCAATGCTAATGATTTTGAGTAATACCTCATTCCTGGTTTACAAACCTCAAAGCCAGTGAAATTGGGAATTTATATTGTACATTCATCTTGCCTGTCTTTTTTGTCCTCTTTGATAAATGGGCATGGTACCCTCTTGAAATAATCGTTTAAATTATCTTAAAAATTGCATCCTCTCCAAACTGAAATGGACTATGATAAAAAAAAATCTGAGTCTACTTTTTTATCACAGTGTATGTCACAAGATTTTTTTTCTACTTGCTTAAATAGTAGCACTTATATTTCCAATCTTCAAAAAGCAGAGATTTCAATGACATTACAGCTTTTCACATAGTAACACACCCAAGTGTTTTAAGGATATATGTGTCACTTACCAGTTGCATCCCACAGATAAATATCAGTGTGCACCTGCCACTGCAATAGCCCATTTTTTCCAAAAGCCTGATCTCCAAGAAGACTCTGTTTCAGCCGCCTCCCAGAAAAGTCAGGTAGCTGATGGGCTGAAGAAATGCTTTGTAAGTGGCTTGGATTTCGTTTTTAGTCCAAGGCAAGAAAACGGTCGGCATTAGGACCTAGCAGCTCACCTGCAGCATCAGCATACCTTTACTGGTATAAGAAAGAGCAGCCAGCCAAAGGGTTTGGGAAATGGACACAAGGGGATGATCTCTACAGCTGTTCACATATCCCTGTGCTGCAGGCAGATAACAGAAGCAGTCTGACTGCATCTCACTACCCCTGCATGCAGCAAGCAATGAGAGCTCCTGAGCATGGCTTACACACAGCTTAGGAGGGATGCTCTCACATCCATACAGGGGGAAGGAGGAGGTGTGAGAGGAGAAAGAGGAGGGGAGATTAGGGGGAATCCTCTCTCAGTGTCTTTGCCACCTCTTTTTCATCCTTGTCTTCTTAGTTCAGTCATCTGCCATTCATATATCCTACTCTGGAACACCTTGTGGAGAAAATACACAATACAAAAGTTTAACCTCTGCACTCCTGGATAGAAAATGACTGTACTAGAGTAGACACTCAGAGGGACACAGTTAGGAATTGTTCATTCTTTGGCATTCTGTTACTGATGAAAAAATGATGAAAAAATCTGTTCATTTTGAACGATCAGTTTCTTGGACACACTTTAGCTTAGTTCCTGCAATATTCAGCTGGTATTTAGAGTGCTGACCAGGTTTTAAACTGAGTAGTTCCCCTCTTTGATACATATACAGGGTTTGTCACTAACTAGAAACGGAGTTTGTCTGGATGGACAGAATCCGGTTAAAATGACCAGATTCCGAACTCAAAGGAAATTCCTGTAAGCCGTTGGAATTTGGTAGGTTTGGGCTAATCTGCTACAATCACCCGAATGCATTCAGGATCTGGATTAAACGGTTTTTTGGTTTTACGTGTGACCAAAAGCATTAAGTAGAATGCACATTTGCTAAATATCATTCACTTGATTTTGCAAGTGAATGATAATTTCAAGTATTATTTGCAGTGCTAGCAGCCAGTGTCAAATAGTTATAAAAACCATTTGCTATGTGAGGGTTAACTATGTGGAGGTTGACCAGCCACCAAATGAAAATTATTATTATTATTATTATATTTAAATAGCGCCATCAAATTCCGCAGCGCTTTACAATGGGTGGATGAACAGACATGTAGTTGTAACCAGACAAGTTGGACACACAGGAACAGAGGGTTGAGGGCCCTGCTCAATGAGCTTACATGCTAGAGGGAGTGGGTAAAATGACACAAATAGGTAAGGATAGTATTAGACTAGTGACAGTTGCAGAAGAGGAATCAGTCAGGAGCTATTAACAGTTTAATTGATACGCTTTTATGAAGAAGTGGGTTGAAGTGACAGTAGCAGAAGAGGATATTTATATGTATATTTATAAAAAAAAACATGAGGGGTGGGGCAATATTACTATAAAATATTTAAAATTAATGACTGGGCAGTCATTGCAACTGGGGAACCCAAGCCAATAGCACTCACCTTAAATTAAATTAACTCTACCTAGACCCCTTTGCTAATGATAGTAATGATAGGGAGTCTATTAAATTAATACCTGAGAAATTGAAAAAATCACTAGTGTTATCACTAGGGGCTTAAAAAGTCCCAGGTGATCCTGCGGGGGTAAAAGTCAATAATAATCCAGTGGGGGAGCATTTCCTCTGCACCTTAGGCATGTGTAAACGATAAGTATTTCTCACTTGCAATTCTAGTGCATATTAAGTCAGAGTGCATGCTGGAGATCCTGGCAGCTCCACTGTAACACATTAGTGAGAGCCAGACTGAAGAGAGTGATTAGCATGGTCTGCACCCACTGGGGGGTGCAGATCACATGCTCTTTAACCTGGAACTGATGCTCTCATGTCCCCTGTAGCAGCCTGCTGCTTACCTGTGTCAGGACTAGCGGCCAAAACTACATGTCCTAAGAGTTGGGCGATAGAAATTCCACTCCCCTGTAACTATGATATGGATATATGAAACATGGGACAAAGTGTAACTTTATGAGAATGGAGGAGTACCTGTGATATGAGAATTGAAAGGGCAGCATATTTGAGTAACTGTTGTAAGGAAACCGTAATGGAACATGTGGCTGACTCCGGTCAGCCTCTGTTTAGCAAGGTATGTTAACAGGCTACACATATAAAAATGATGACATTTATGTGTGTGTCAGTTTGTGTGTCCATGTGTCAGTGTGTGTTTCTGTCTGTCAAAGGGTGTGTATGTGCCAGTATGTGTTTCTGTACCAAAGTGTGTGTATGTGTCAAGTTGTGTGTATGTGTCTATAAAAAAAGCCTACATTCAGATGCACAAACACTGCTCACAAATACAGCCCAGTAAGAATGGGCAAATGGTAAATCCCCAGATGGCACAGCATTGTGGGAGGTCAACAGATGGAAAACTACGTTATGGCCACCCAAGTGCTAGTAAGGGCCCAAACAAATGCTTGCATAACGACCCTCTCTACATTAGTTTCACCACTGTGTGGGTGACTGAGGAAAGAAAGAAGAAGATGGTGGAAGTGATTGCTTAAAAATGGAGGGTTAGTAAGAGGGACATATGTCTGAATAAGAAGAGGAGGGTAGGAAGTAATAATGTTTTATTTATTAAAAATATCCAATTTAGTGTTTTTCTGATGACAAACGCTATTAAAATGTTCATCTCCAGGCCAAAGAATGAAGATTTCAATAGAAATTTACAGTTTTTTATTATATGTTAAGGGTAAGTCTCTACTCAAAAATCATATGGGAGAACAGATATACTATTAACATATAATAATATTTCTGTTAAATGCTCCCTAAGACCTTATGATCTGTATAATTGTTTGTCCAAATCTGTTTGTCTTTTTGTATAAACTTGTTAATTTAAAACTAAAATAAAGATTAAAAAGGAAAAAAATGCAGGGAAAAGAAATAACTGATGATGATTTGGTTTTTTACTTTGATGCCCCCAAATTATGAGCGAACATGCAATATTAAATACCAATTTCTGATAAAAAAAAAAAAGAAAATGGAATTTTTAGAAATTAACTTTGTTAATCGTCGGCCCTTCTAATGCTGCAGCCGCTGAGCACTCTATAGAGAGCCTAAGGCGGCTGCAGCACTGTCTCTCTCTCCTCACCTCCCCTTCCCTGTAGCTTGGCCGAGCTTCTCTCCGGTCCGCGGTACAGGAACATTTGTTTCATGTACCCGGCCAGACTGATAGGAAGTGTACAGTCAGTGTGCACTTCCTGTCAGTCCGGCCGTGTACAGGAAAGAGAAGCTCTTGTACCGCGGAACGAAGAGGAGCACTGCCATGCTATAAGGAAGGGGAGGTGGTGGGGGGTGAGTAGGAAGACCACATGGCGGGGCAGTAAGGAGACCACAAGGAGGGGGGGTGAGTAAAGAGACCACAGGGACGGGGGGAGTAAAGAGAGAACAGGGGTAAAGAGACTCACAGGAGGGAAAGGGGGGAGAAGTAAAGAGAAATCACAGGGAGGGGAGGGGGAGCAAAGAACACAGGGAGGAGGGGGGTGAGTAGCAGACCACAGGGAAGGGGAGTAAAGAGAACACAGGGAGAGGGGAGTAAGGAGACCACAGGGAGGGGGGAGTAAGGAGAACACAGGGAGGGGTGAGTAAGGAGAACACAAGGAGAGGGCAGGTGAGTAAGGAGAACACAGGGAGAGGGGGGTGAGTAAGTGAGTAGAACACAGGAAGGGGAGGAGTAAGTGAGAACACAGGAGGGGGGAGTAAGGAGAACAGGAGAGGGGGGAGTAAAGAGAACACAGGGAGGGGTGTAAGTGGAGAACACAGGAGGAGGAGGTAAGGAGAAATGCTGGTGGGAGGGAGGAGTAAGGGAGGTCAAAAGGGGAGAGGGAGTAAGTGGAGAACAAGCAGGAAGGGGGGGGGAAGAAAAACATGTACAGGGGGGGTAAGGGAGAGCAGGGAGAGGGAGTAAGGAAGGGGGGAGTAAGGAGAACACAGGGAGAGGGTAAGGAGAACACAGGGAGAAAGTGGGGAGTAAAAGAGAAATACAGGAGGTGGAGTAAGGAGAACAATACAGGGAGGTGGAGTAAGGAGAACACATGGAGGGGGAGTAAGGAGAACACATGGAGAGGGGGGAGTAAGGAGAACACATGGAGGGGGAGTAAGGAGAACACATGGAGAGGGGGGAGTAAGGAGAACACATGGAGATGGGGGAGTAAGGAGAACACAGGGAGAGGGGGGAGTGAGGAGAAGACAGGGAGAGGGGGGAGTAAGGAGAACACATGGAGGGAGGGGGTGAGACCACTAAGGGGCAGGGGAGAGCTCTAAGGGACGGAAGGGATAGCTCTATAGGACAGGGGCACACACGCACACAATGCATCCCTATACATACACAGAAACACACAATGCATACCTACACACACATGCAAACACACACTGCATCTTACATACACACAGAACACAATGCATCTCTTACACTTAATGAACCCCTTACAGACACACACACTGCATTATTTACATACACAGAAACACACCTTATGCATACAAACACAGAGTCACACAATGCATCCCTTACATACAACCAGAAACACACAATACATCCCTTATACACAAACACACACTGCTTTCTATCCCTTACACAAAAACACAGCTTCCACTACACACAAACACACTGCATCACCTACACAAACTGGTATCCCAATACACTACATTCCATAAGCACACACATTAGATCCTCTACAATAACACATAACACATCCCCTACACACTCCACTCCCTGCAATGACAGGAGATAAAAATCCTGCCTCCAACCCCTGTCAAGGCCCTATTCCACTTATGTTGCTCAAGTTCCATGGGGCTACAAAACCGTTTATGACATCATTTATATCCATTGATATGAAATCAAAAGTAGTCATAGCAACATCAGAATGCTCAAATCAACTAGAGTTGTCTTGTTTACAGCTGGTGTCAAGGGCCAAGGAGGACAACGTAAAACCAGGCTTGATAAAATGTTTAAAAACACCAATCAGAGGGTCCTACATGTTCATCAAAATCTGGGCCAAAGAGAGACTGGAGGATCAAGAAGAAGGGGAAGGATATTACGTGGATCCATTTTCAAGATGGTCTCATATATGAAGAGCTTAAGTGCGTTCAGGATGCGAGAAAGATTGATAAGAGAAGGTAAGGAAAGTGCATTGTGGGTGTTTCCCACCTTCTTAATTAAGAATATAATGCAGACTTTCCTTACTGCATTGCTATATGGAGAATATAATTATACACAATTATGTATGTGTGTATACCGTTTACATTGTATATATA